GTGGTATCTAAACTAATTTCTGACTTACTTAGAGGGATGACCACTTGCATAACAGGCACTGTAAAGTAACTGCTATTATGACTTACTAATGAAAATTCAGTGAAAGAACTAAAAAGTGATATGAAGAATAATTAGAAATTATTAATAATTAATAGGATCACATGATCCTGATAAAAACATAAGATATATATGATAAAGTGTTCAGGTTCTGTTAAGCATTGTATTTTTCTCCTGTAACAAATACCTGAACTTATCAACTTATAGGAGAAAAGGTTTAATTTGGCTCATAGTTTTAGAGGTCTTATTCCATTATTGTTTGGTTTTGGGACTGTGGAGACACATCATGGTGAGAGCACATGGCATAGCCAATTGAAAGGGTAAAGAAAGGAAGAAAAAAAACAAGATTCCACAATTCCCTTTTCAGATGTTGCCCCTCAATGTTCTGTATCTTCCCACTAAGACCACCTCTTGAAAATTTACACGACCTCCCAAATAGCACTAAGTTGGTACTAAGCTTTTAACATGAACCTCTGGGGGACATTCCTCATCTAAACTAGAGCAAGCAAGTTAAAAAGACTAATGAAATCTCTATATATGCACACTGTTGGTAAGCCTGAAATCTAATTATCTATTTTCTTTTTTATTCCTTCTCACCACCCCCACAAGACAGGGTCTCTGTCTCTGTCTCTTTCTTGTGCTGGGGATTGAACCCAGAGGCACTCTACCACTGAACTACAACCCAGGCCTTTTTAAATTTTTTTGTTTTGAGACAAGGTCTCTCTTAAGTCACTGAGGGTCTTGTTAAGTTGTCAAGGCTGACTTCTAACTTGTGATCCTACTACCTCAGCCTCCCTAGTCTCTCAGTAATGCTGTACCTCACCATGCCTTTAAAAAAAAAAAACAATATTTTTTTTGTGTACAGTATGTCCACTAAATGCAGAAAGCTTTCATTCACGTTCTCTAAAGACATGGATGTCTATTGCAGTGTGGGGAGAAAAACTAGCTGTTTTCACCTATTGAAAGATGGTAGTTTTCTGTATTATGTGGACATTTTAAGGGGCTCTCAGGGATAATTTCAACAGTAAGCTGGTTTTGCCTTGCCTGCTGGCTGCCTGTAACACCCTATTGTGGAAAGTAACACACACTTAAAAGACCTGTTTAAATTGATACTGTGTCAAACACATCATTTGTATGACCTTTCTAACTCTCAAGTTTTATAGTCTGTGAAATGATGAAAATATTTATTTCATGGTGTTTTTAAAAGATTTTAATGAAATATCTAAGAGAATGATTTTTACATTGTAAAACATCATTGTACATATAAATGGTTTTACAGGTACTTTAGTGATACTGCTTTTGCTTATAATTATGTTTCTCTTCATTTTTGTGCTCTATTCCTTCAGTGTAAATAGAACATTTCTTTATGTCCTTTATGCTACTTTGCCCTTCTAAGGCAATAAGAGAACTGGCCTCATTTAGAGGCATTGAGAAGCTGTGGTATATTGCCAGGCAGTTTACTCTGGGCTGACTTAGTGCCTCAAAGGGAAGATGGCCAACCAGGGGGTCACTTCTGAGATGCTCTAGCATCTTGAAAGGAATAGTGAAAACAGCAAGGCTCTGCAGCCTCTTTAATTCATTCTCTTTATTAGGTTTCCGTTATTTGCTGGTTCTTTTCTCCACAGGATGAGCACAGTTTAATATTTTTTTCTACCAGTATTGCACCTCAGAGGTGCAGAGAAGTTAAAAAAATGTACCTTTCTGTCCCTCAGTTGTGCATCTAATTATCACTGAAGTGAGGCAGTTTATTTTGCAGTAAATAATGTCTTTGAATTAGCCAAGCCAGCATTGCCATTGTGCTTCATTGTTATTGATTCTTTATTTTACCATTCTTTAACTGAAAATTGGAGAATTAGGATTCTCATTGAAGTTCTTATGATCACATTACAAATAATTCTTGTTTTTGCAAAGGCTAGACCTTATCTTTATTCTCTTTGAAAGGGCAAACTGGGATTCCATGTGGAGGTAAATGTAATACAACTATCGATTGCATTTTGTACTAAGAATAAGAGGACTGCTTCCCTAAGGCATTGTACTTATGTCAGATGACTGACTGCTGTAATGAATTTAAGATTATTCCAGATGGTGGGAGCTAGCATCAAGCATCCGTGTGGGCTATACCTGGTTAGGTATATGTTATTCTAGATAATACATTTTTCTTACTTAAATTTTTTCTAATCACTAAAAATAATACATACTCTTTACAAAAGTTTAGAAGTTGTAGAAATGTTGAAAATTAAATTTATGGAATCTCATTACCCATAGTATTTGATTTTTGTTATCTTTTCCATGTATTGAATAATTTGCTTTAGAAAAGTTATTTTCTTGTATTTCCCATTGTAAGTTAGCTTAAGAAAAATGAACTACCTCATATTCTTAAGTGTAAGTAGAAGGAAGATGGACATAAATAATCAACAATGGTACTGAATAAAATATAACATTGCATCTTTGCCCATCCATATCTTCCTCAAGGCTCCTCAGCTTCCCTTCTAGTCAATGGCCCCCCCTCCTACTTCTATTCAGAGATTTGTTCTCCTAATGATGGTATGCCTCTAGTGTTTCTCATACTGTTTCACCCATTACTCCTTTTGCATCAAAATATGAGCATGTTTCTCAAGAGGTCTGGGAGTAATATTAAAGTATCAGTCACAAATCCAAACTTTCTTTGCATTCTCCTAATTTATCTTGAGGGTTCATGTAAATTTTGCTTTCCTAATTTCTTTCAGTTCTTTCTATTATAAAATATTATAGCCAGGCACAGTGGCACATACCTGTAACCTAGCAACTTGGAAGACTGAAACAGGAGGATCACAAGTTCAAGGCTAGCCTCAGCAACTTAGCAAAGCCCAAAGTAACTTAGTGAGACCCTGTCTCAAAATAAAAAGGGCTGGGTATGTAGCTCAATGGTAAAGTACACTGGGTTAAATTTCCACTACAAAAAATAAAAACATAAAAATAAGTAAAATATTATAATAAATATAATACCTACCTCTGAATAAAATGCTCCAAGAAGCTGTGCCACATTTATCAGGTGACTTTAAACTCTCTGGCATATAACTGTATCTCCTAGGGGAACATATTACTCTAGTTTGAGAAACCTGGACTCTAAATAAGATGAATTTGTGTTTTCCAAGCATATATTTTTAAATAAAAGAAACAGGGCTAGAAGTATAGCTCAGTGGTAGAGCATGTGCATAGCAATCATAGCAATTATGAGGTCCTGGATTTGATCCTAGATTCCAGTGATTATCAGTTGAGAGATATGGGACATGCCTTCCTAGAGGGAGGTGTCAGAGTCATCTGGAAGTTTTTGAGGTCTTTTTAAATATTTATTTTTTAGTTTTAGGTGGATACAATATCTTTATTTTAAATTTATGTGGTACTGAGGATTGAACCCAGTACAGTGCCTCATGCATGCTAGGTGAGCACTCTACCCCTGAGCCACAACCCCAGCCCTCATCTGGAAGTTTTTTTCAGATTTTGCCCTGCCTCCATTCCAGTTTGAAAATTACTGCCACAGTCAGCCCCTAGGGTTCTGATGGGAAAGCGTTTTATTCCCCAGTAGTATCAGAGTAGAAAAATGTGAGGATCATGGGCGGGGGTTGTGGCTCAGTGGTAGAGCATTTGCCTAGCATGTGTGAGACACTGTGTTGGATTCTCAGCACTGCATATAAATAAATAAAATAAAGTTCCATTGACAACTAAAAAATAATTTTAAAAATGTGAGGATCATTCAAGTTTACACACACACACACACACACACACACACACACACACATGTTCACACTACTATAATTTATGAATAATTTCATAAAGTGATCAAATCTGAACAAGTAACTGAGTTAAAGTTTTCTGGTTTTATTATATGTTAGATAAAATTTTTGTCAAAAAAACCCTGAGTCCTTGAATTGTACTGTTTCTATTATCTCAATGATGGAAATTAGGATTTAGAACTACTCTGGTCCTTAAATAGAAAATTATTTTGCTAGGTTAGTAATTTTTTTTCCTCTTAAAAGTATCTGCAGAGCTATTTGTTTTGGCTGGGTTCCATTAGGTGCCTCAGTGCTTTAAGTTTTCCTCCTCTTTGTTTTGTTTGGTGCCCTTCATCTTTTTGCCTCCTGCTGCTGGTCTCCTCTATCACCATCATAGTGACAACTGTTTCTGATTTGAGGCCCAGTGTCATTTTCTAAGACATTCAATACTGTGATAAGTTTAAGAAAATAAATACTTCCATAATAAAAGGACATCTGACATAAAAACTATTTAGGATTTTCCCCATTGTAGCACAATACAGAGATTTTAATAGTAGTAGTCCACATGCTCACACAACATGTTGTCTGTGAGAACCCTTGAGAATCTTGATTTCATCAGGAGAGGGGAACTCTAATAATGTCTGGCACTTCAGTTCCCAAACTCTGGGTCTCAGTTTCCCTTACTTTCTTCCCTTGAGCCACAGCACCTCTAGTTCCTCTTAATATGTTTCTTTCTTTTTCCACATTTTTTCTTTTTGAGACTTAAATGAAAGGTAAGTTATGTGAATCTTCTAGTAAATATTATTCCAAATGAAATTTATTCTCAGAATGTTTTTAGAGTAACGTTTATGAGTTAAGTCAATATGTTAGACCCTGGATTTAGCAGTGATAAATAAGATCAGACATGTAATGGCTTGTTGAGGCTTAGTCTGGGTTGAAAGAAAGTGAAACTAATTAATCAGAAGTAAAATGAAAAATAACTGTAACCACTAACCACAATTGAGAAGAGTCAACACTGAATCCATATCCTCATCCATATATAGTCCCTATTCAGATATCCCTTTTTGAATTATCAATTTTGAAGAAAATCACACTATGAAATCTTTTTTAGGAGTGTGAGGTGTTCTCTCTTATAGAAAAAAGTGAGTATGTTTACTGTTGGCTTACTCTCGGTTTTTCTTTGTGACTTAGCTTCTTACATCCGTGTTTGAAAATAGCATCAAGACCTTTGGAGTAATTGAGAGTGACCCTTTTGACTGGGAGAAATCTGGAACTGATGGCTCCCTAACCACCACCACCACTTCTACCACCCCTCAGTTGCACACCCGACTGACTCCTGCTGCAATTGGGTATGTCCTAAATGTTCTGTTTAGTGGTATCTTTTCTGGATGCATTGTAGTCACAGAAATTTCCTTTAGTTTTATCCAGATTTTTTCAAATGATCAAATGCTAAGACATAGGGGAAAGCCTATGGGTTTCCTTGAATTAACCTTGCTTTTATCACAACAGGGCTGGGGGGTGTAGCTCACGGGTAAAGCCCTTGACTAGCATATAAAAGACAATGGATTCAATCCCTAGCACCACAAAAATGTTAAAATACAAGAATAATGACAGGAAAAGATTAAGAATGAAAAAATACAAATACACGTAATACACAAAACTTGGCATAACTGTATTAATAGCTGACAAAATAGGCTTTAATATTAACAGAAAAACAAAACCTCTAGTCACTGGGAAGATGTAAGGATTCTAAACTTATATGCCTTTAACTCAAGAGTGAAAAAAATATTTCAGAAAGAGAATGACAATACAACATACCAAAAATTTTCTGATGCAATAGGAGATATTTTGTTCCTTCTGCTGGTCTTAGTTTCATTTTACTCTTCTTCTTCTAGTGTCTTGAAGTAGAATTTAGATTGATTTAAAATATTGTATCTTTTATAATATGAGCATTTAGTGCTATGAATTTCCCTTTCAGACTGCTTTAAGTATACCCCACATATTTTGATATATTGTAGTTTGACTTTCACTGAGTTTGAGGTAATTTTTAATTTTTTTGCACTTGATCAGTGAGCTATATCCCAAGCCCAGAGTTCAATGTAATTTTAAACAATTTCCTCTTTGACTCATGGAATATTTGCCTTTGGAATTACTTACCTTAGAAAATACTGGTAGATCATACTCTGAAATGGGAGCTTAGAGCGTATGTGACTTATTGAAGCCAAATTTAGAGTGGATTTTCTTCAAAATGAGCCGGGGGGCATTCATTATGTTTCTAAAGAATATATGACATCCTGGAAAGAATGAGGCACAATTATATCTAACTATATTAGGCTTACGTTTAGTGGGAACAAAACATGCAGTATGTTCCCCTTATGAAAGTAATTTAATTCACATAGTATATTAGGAACAGATTATGGTGTATTTCCATGTTCTCGATGTTTGCTTTGAATGCTTTTTCCTCTACATGTATTAAATTCCTTTTGTTTTTTTCTTTATTTTCTTCTTTTTTTTTTTTTTTTTTTTTTTTTGGAGTACCCTGGATTGAACCCAGGGCAGTCCACTGAGACACATCCTCAGACCTATTTTTATTTTACTTAGTGACAGGGTCTCACTGAGTTGCTTAGCACCTCGTCTATTACAGAGGCTGGCTTTGAACTCGAGATCCTCCTGTCTCAGCTTCCTGAGCCACTGGGATTACAGGTGTGCATAATCGCACCCAGCTCCTTTTGTTTTTATTTTGTTTTGGTTTTGGTTTGTCTTTTCCCCTTAATCTGCTTCTGTTACATGTTGCCTGAAAGCACAGACTATGTGTTAGACAAGAGTAGGAATGAAGGTCATCAAGTCAGAAGGAACATGTCCTTGAAAAATCACTGGTCTTCCCATGAGTATAAGAAGTACTTGTCACCAAGACAGAGTATATAACTGTTACCCTTAAAGTGATTTTCTGAGAGGATGCTTATTTTGCTGCTCACAATGATTACACCTGTTAGTATAATCTATTAAACACTATATTTTCCTACACTTAGATATTCTAGATCACTTGTAAGAAAAGCTTTCTTTTGTGTGTTAAATACTGTGTTCAGTCAGCAATATTTTTAAAAAACCAAATCAGTATTTATAATTATAGAACAGTAGAGCTGGCAGAGGCCTTTTTACTTAATGACTAATAATTAAGAATTACAAAACCTCTTGTGGACCAGGAGTCTCAGGGTCAGATGACACGGAATTACTTTGAAAGGAATATATAGAAAAATACCAATTAATATTTTCTATTTTTCCTATACAAAACTAAACTATACAATTGCATAATTTCAGTTTCTTCTATAGGACAAAGATTTTTTTCCCTCATCTTTGTATTGTAGGACCTTGCCTATAGTGGTGCTTAGTATAAAGTCTGTAAATGAAAAAGCAGTGCACATTTCATTCTATAAAAAATAACATAAGTTTAACCCCTATTTATTTCCTTACTACCCTTAATATTTCCATATTTGTAATTGTTTTAATTCTCTAAGAAAATGGGTAAAGAATAGAAAATCTTATTATAATTGATGAAGACTTCTTGGAAAATAGTCCAAATGTTTCTTAAAATGATTGGTAAATTAGTGTATTAGAATTTGCACTTAAAAACAGGTTGAAATTTTTGAATTCTCAAAATTTAGAAATTTATTTTGTACAGTTGACATGACCTGAATTTTCAAGTTTTTTTCTAACTTTCTTAATGATATATGGACTTGATCATTTAAATCTAGAAATAAGATAAAAGATAGACTCATAGAAATTTTTTATTCTGGTCTTTTAAAGTTCTATGATTTTTTTCTCCCCTTGCTTTTAAGAATTGCAAATGCCACTCCCATCCCAGGAGACTTGCTTCGAGAAAATACGGATGAGGTGTTTCCAGATGAACAGCTTAGTGATGGGGAGAATGGCATTCCTGTTGGTGTGTCACCAGATAAGTTGCCTGGATCTTTGGGACACCCTCGTCCCCAGGAAAAGGATGTCTGGGAAGAGATGGATGCCAACAAAAATAAGATAAAACTTGGAATTTGTAAGGTGTGTGTTTCTTGCATAGGAAGTAATATCTTTCTAAGTACTCATTATTTATTTTCTATTGTTGCACAAAGTATCATGATTCTCAATTTTGAATGAGAAGCAGACAGAATGTAGTTTTATTATTTTTTAAATATCTGTAATTGCAGCATTTTGGTTAATTTGTCCCATAAAACTCATATTATAGATAGTTTATGGAAAAGGTAAAGGTATTTTAAAAAGTAACCAGACTGGGTGTGGTTGTATATTTTTGTAATCTCAGCATCTTGGGAGGCTGGTTTAATCCCTAGTACTACCAAAAAAGAAAAGTATTTGTTTTCATTTTATTTTTTTCAAAATAGTTTTTGATTGATAGTTAATTTTTCTCTTGCTTTAGTTGTTGATATGTAAAAGTCAGCTGTCATTCTATTTGTTTGTTTCCCTATAGGTAATCAATTCTCCCTCAACTCCCCCACCCATATTTTTCCTTTGCAGCTACTTTTTAGCTCTTCTCTTTGTAATGATCTGCATTTTAACTACAATGTGTCTAGTCATGTATTGTCTTGCTTGGGAAAACAAGCAAGATTGTTTCTTGAATATTTTGACTATATTTTATATCAGTTCTGGGAAATATACAGCCAACTATCCTCTACTAAATATTGCTAGCTCTTCATTGGTTCTCTCTGAGGACTCCAATTAAACATATTTTTTGTATCTTGTATATATTTTTTTCTTAATTTTTCTTTTCCTGATCATGCTGTGCTTCATTCTTGATAATTTCTTTTGTGTTTTCCAGTTCACTAATTAGTAACTCCAACTCTTTCTTTCTTGTGGTGGGGAGGGAGTGAAATAATCATTTAATTTCTTTATTGATTTTTATGAAATTACCTTTATTCAAACATTTGTTCATGGCTATTCTATATATTGTGTCTAAACAAACAAGTTTCATATCTAACATCTTTGTGAGTTTAAATGTTGTGTTGCCTAATTGTTTCTGCTGACTTAGGCATGGTGGCATACTTTTTCTGACTACTTTTAATTTGCTGCTCATTAAATAATTGATGGGAACCCTACAGTCCCAAATTTGGGTTGGGGAACCTTCCTTCAGAGAAGGTTGGCTTCTGCTGCTGATAATCAAGAGTGTAGGGCACTTTTTCATGGTCTCTAATCAGAATACATGTCTCAGATGTCCCTCACTTACAGTATCCCTGGTGTGAGGCTTGATTTCCCTGGTAATTGTGCTGCTGTAGGCATTTGGCTTTAGACAATGTGTCCCTCTGTGCTAATTCATGCTTGGCCTCTTCTGCTTTGCCCTAGTTGCTTATTTGTTCTAGCCCCAGGTTGTCTTATAGATTTTTTTTTTTTTTGATGGTGCTGGGGATTGAACCCAGGGCCTTGTGTGTACAAGGCAAGCACTCCACCAACTGAACTATATCCCTAGCTCAGTAGTTGTTTTTGAGAGGGGGAATGAGTAAGGGGATGGGGGACATATATTTAGTGAGCTTTTCTAACTATATGGCCAGTTATGTCTCAAAGAGAACATTCTTTTCAGGTTTTAGTTTTACTTTAGTGGACTGGGGTCCTAAAAGCATCTAGTCATATGTAATACAAAAAGACAAAGTTATTAAACAGTTTTAGACTGTTCATCTTTGTACCCAGAGTATAAACTAAAATAATACTGAAACTGAATATAATTTAAGAAAACTCATAATGAGATAAATTAGTCATAATATCCTAATCTTCTGAAAACAAATCTAACCACTTATTACTACTATTTTGAAAGGCTTCAGTGATTTCTCTCATGTTATAATACCTGGAATATATTTCATCATTCTATTTTTCTAGGCTGCTACTGAAGAGGAGAACAGCCATGGTCAAGCCAATGGTATTCTCAATGCTCCAAGTCTTGGTTCACCAATTCGAGTCCGCTCAGAGATTACTCAGCCAGATAGGGATGTTCCATTGGTGCGAAAATTACGTTCCATCCACAGCTTTGAGCTGGAAAAACGTCTGACACTGGAACCAAAGCCAGATACTGACAAGTTTCTCGAGGCCTGGTATAAAATAGTTTTTCTTACTTTTTAAAGTATCTAAGATATCATCATCATCATTATTGTTATTTATTATTTAAAGTCTTTCAAATAAGAAATTCTTGCATTTTGGTAACACCAACTTCATTAATTTCATTTTTCATTCATATTTTAGGTATCATCCTTATTTTTTATTCTTATTAGTTATACATGATAGTTGAATGTATTTTGACATATTATACATATATGGAGTGTAACTTCTCATTCTTCTGGTTGTACATGATATATCAAATTACATTGGTTGTGTAATCATATATGCACATAGGAAAGTTATGTCTGATTCATTCTACTATCTTTCCTATTCCCATTCCCCCTCCCTTCCCTTCGTTCCCCTTTGTCTAATCCAAAATACTTCTATTCTTCCCTAACCATCTCCCTTCCTTATTATAAATTAACATCCACAATATCATAGAAAACATTCATTCAGCCTTTGGTATTTTGGGATTGGCTTATTTCCCTTAGCATGATAATAGTCTCCAGTTCCATCCACTTACTGGAAAACCCCATAATTTCATTCTTCTTTATGGCTGAGTAATATTCCATTGTGTATATATACCACATTTTTTTTATTCATTCATCTGTTGAAGGGCACCTAAGTTGGTCCTTAATTTAACAGTTGATCATCTTGATTCTTAATGTGAATTTTCTTCCAATATCATTATAAATTCTGTAGAAAAACTCTTGGCTGTGGTAACTGCTAACATCATAACACTAGGTACAGTCAAATGGATATTTTTGCATTGACCAGTTTGGAAGGTGATCTTCCAAACAGCAGTATAGAGCTGGAGAGAGTATGATAAAGATGACATTTGAAAGGAATGAGAGGAGTGAATACATGAAGAAGGGAAAAAAGTAATTTATATACAGAGGACAGGCATTTTGATTTAGTTAATGCCTTCTCTGTGTAAGGTGTCGTAAGAAAATATATATTTATCATTCTTTCCTTCTAGCACCCACAATCTACCTAAAGAGAAGAGAAGGTTAAACTTTAGAGAGCTATCCATAAATATTGTAATAATGTAATATGTTGCAGGCATATTATCCCTGCAACAAGTTTTGATAACAAAGGCAGAAATGAAACATTTAAAAGAAGAGTTTGGGATATACTTATGAATTATGGAGGCTTCACTAGTATTAAAACTTACATACCTTTAATAGTAGTTACACCCCTTCAATGGTATATCTTTTATGGTTCCTATTAACAATGAAATATTAGGTTAGAAGGACCATGGATATAACTAGCATGATAGATACTGTGTCCCAAGGCAGTTTCTCCACTGTTGGCCTTGTCCAGTTTCCATTTTAAACAGTCCTCCTGTGCTGCAGTCCAACAGTATCTATGTGCTGTTACTGCTCACATGGCAGTCATTCCATCTTGTGGCTAGTATAATGTAAGCATGTGTTTTTATTTTGATTCGATCAAAAAGATGGACAAGAGTTGGGGCAGTGTTGTAAACAGTTTGAATTGTGGCTGAAATGGAAAGTAAATTCAAAAGTGCAATAAGGATAAAAGCTTAGTTTGGTAAAGTCTAATAAAAGGAAGAAACTAAAAAGTGTGCCATGCTGAGAGAAGAACTCCATCTTCCAAAGCAGGATTATGGCAGGTAGAGAAGAACATTATCAACCCTGTGAAACTTTCCTTATGCTATAATCCATATATTTTCCTCTCATCTTTGTGTGAATAGTTCTCTGTATAGAGATAAGTTTTGTAATAAAAGTTTCTCTAGAATAATTAACTTCTTTCCATTTCTTTAAGCTTGGAGAAAATGCAGAAAGACTCAAAGGAATCTGTTCTCCCTGCTCTGCTTCATAAGCCTTGTGTCCCTGTTGTATCCCGTACTGACCACGTCTGGCACTATGATGAAGAATATCTTCCAGATGCCTCCAAACCTGCCTCTGCCAATACTCCTGAGCAGGCAGATGGTGGTGGCAGCAATGGATTTATAGCTGTTAACTTGAGCTCTTGCAAGCAGGAAGTCGATTCCAAAGAATGGGTGATTGTAGACAAGGAACAAGACCTTCAAGATTTCAGAACAAATGAGGCTTTAGGACATAAAACAACTGGAAGCCCTTCTGATGAGGAGCCTGAAGTGCTTCAGGTCTTGGAGGAATCACCTCAAGATGAAAAGCTCCAAATGGGCCCTTGGGCAGAAAACAATCATTTAAAGAAGGAAACCTCAGGTGTGGTCTTGGCGTTTTCGGCAGAGTGCCCTGCTACTGCTGTTTCAGAACAATACACAGATAGACTGGAACTCCCGGTTGGAGCTGCTAGTCAGTTTATTGCAGCAACACCCACAAGTCCAATGGAGGCACAAGCAGAAGGACCCCTTACAGCGGTGAGAGATTTGTTTTGTTGTTATTTGTTGTCCACTCAGGTGCTATTAAGAAAGGTCTGACAGTTGATCAACTCATATTCTGTGGTAGAGGCCTTACTTTGGCAAATGGGCATAAGCAGTGATATTTGTTTGTGTTAAGTTCTAGAATTGAAGATACTTTTATGCTCCAAAATAGAGAAATAAAATGCCTTCCTAATTCTCCAAGCAGAGATTACTGTGGTTGGTCTTTCTCTCTTTCCCAGGACTTTTTCTTGATACGATCAAAGGACTACTTGGTATAGTTGTGCAGGTTCTTCATGGCATAAAGGGGACTAGCCAAGGGAACAAGTTGGAGCTGAAATCCAGCCTAACCTGAGTTGTGACTTATGATTTTTAGTATACCTACAAAATGTTTGTAGTTACAAACCCCCTTAAAGACAAGGGAAGGGAAAAAGCAGTTTTTCTTTCTTGTTTGCTTAGATCTTGAGGCTTTGGGTTTTTAAATTTTACCCAACTTAAAAAAAATTTTATTAGTGAATTGTAATTGTGCATAATAATGGGGTTTTTGTGACATATTCATATATTCATATAACATTATTTCCTCCATTTTAATCCCCAGTACTTCCCCTTTCTTCCTCCCTCTCCCTGACTACTACTTTTACTCTCTACTGCTCTCCCATATATACATATATTTGTATATATGTTTATTTTAATTGTTGCATTATAATTATACATAAAAGTGGGATTCATTGGAAATAAAGTTGACCAAATTATGCTATGGGCAGTTTTAGCCACCTTATTAAAAAATATTTTTATTTGTAGATGGACACAATACCTTTATTTTATTTATTTTTATGTGGTGCTGAGGATCAAACCCAGTGCAAGGCAAGTACTGTATAACTGAGCCACAACCCCAGTTTTACCCACCTTTATAGCAGAGATTTCTGCCTTCCCTGTTCTTTCCTGCTTTTCCCCTTCCCCTGTCCATCCATCTAGGTACAATAACAATATAACAATATCTTGATCATATAAATAACTAGCAAATGCATTTAGAGTAAGCAATTAGGAATAAAAGAATGAGAGACATCATGTATGGCCTCTCTACTCACATGTTATCAACTATGTACTGTTTTTTTAAAAAATAGAAATATGGGGCTGGGGATGTGGCCAAGCGGTAGCGTGCTCGCCTGGCATGCGTGCGGCCCAGGTTCGATCCTCAGCACCACATACCAACAAAGATGTTGTGTCCGCCGAGTACTAAAAAATAAATATAAAAAAAAATAAAAATAAAAATAAAAAATAGAAATAGAAATATAATTTGGTACATAAAATCAGAGTTTGTTTATGTACCATAAAAATGATAAGTGTTTATTTTCATAATTTTCAACAATTATAAAGTAGTATATAAAGATGTCTTTAAAAAAAGATGTCTGTAGTAGAATTTTAATGACCCAATAAAATTTGAATAGTTAAAATTTTTAATATTTCTATAAGTTAATTCTTGGCTATATTAGGAACCACGTATATCTCTTCCAAATAAATTCTTGTCTACAAACATAAGTGAGATATAGCTATTTTGTATTCATATACCTTTCATTCCTAAGAAAAGCTATTTGGTAAAAATGTCGAGTTTCCCAAAGCTGTTGTTATCATAATAGCACTACAGTCTTGGAAAGGATCATTTCTAAGTTAAAATGAAAGTGGTATTTAGGTTTACAGTTAATTGTTTTCTTGCTATGTGGCTAGTTCTCAGCATGAGGAAACTGAAAAATGAGGTTGCTGTATGTGAACTACTAAATAATGAGACTGATGTACCCATGAGTACACAGGCATTAGTACTAGGCATTAATAAATCTACAAAAATATGAAAGAAATGGAAACATTGAAGTGATTTTCTAAATCTGTAGAAAAGTATATATGAAACAACAAGAGACCAGAAGAAGAAAATGATTGAAATATTACCTTAAATGGAGCTGGGTGTGGGGCACACACCTGTAGTCCCAGCAACTGGGGAGGCTGAGGCAGGAGGATCAGAAGTTTGAGGCCAACCTTAGCAACTTAGTGAGATCCTATCTCAAAATAAAAAAGGACCAGGGATATAGCTCAGCAATAGAGCACCCTTGGTTTTTCAATCCCTAGTACTCGGGGGATGGGAGAAGGAAGAAAATTTTTTAAAAAATGAAATGATGCCTTAATGAAATGTTTGTGAATTGTGAAATTAAAGACATTAATTACTGACAGATCATTTATTAAGTCCATTAGTAGCATATCTCAAGTACAGGAATTGCTTTTATGTCTTTTGTACCCTCTACGGTTAAGGAAGTTATTTTCAGCTACACTTAGAATTAGCTTTCTCTTTTCTGTATTTAACTGTTGAACCTGGGTTTTCTATTTTTACCATGTAGATGATGTTTTTGCAGGTTCGCTTTCCCAGACTTTATTTGAGAGTGTAGGCTGCATGTTTATAGGCTGTGCTGTGCACGTTGTTAAAATCCTGAAGTCCTATCCATTATCCTTCTTGACTATGGTTTTCCTCAAATTATGAATATGTATTAATAATGGAATCTCCCCAGTGCAGTGGCACATGCCCGAAATCCCAGTGACTTGGGGGACTGAGGCAGGAGGATCACAACTTTGAGGCCAGTCTCAACAATTTAGCAAAGCCCTTAGCACTCAGTGAGGGCCTGTCTCAAAAAAACAAAAAGGGCTAAGAATGCAGCTCAGTGGTATAAAGTACAAAAAGAAAAGAGGAATATAATTATAATATAAGGAAGCTATGATATGATATGTAATTTGTAAAAATGACTTTAGGATTTTTTTTTCTTTGCAGTACTGTAGATGAAACCCAGGGTGCTTTATCACTGAGCTATTCCTCAGCCTTTTTTGTTTGTTTCTTTTTAGTTGTTGATGGACCTTTATTTATTTATATGTAGTGTTGAGAATTGAACCCAGTGCCTCACACATGCTAGGCAAATGCTCTTCCACTGAGTTACAACTCCAGCCCCTTTTATTTTTAATTTTGAAACAGGGTCCTGCTGAGGTGCTTTCCAACTTGAGATCTTCCTGCTGCAGGCTACAAAGTAACTGGGATTATAGGCATATGCCACCATACCCTGAAGGAATATTTTTATAAAATTTATAAAGTTTTTGGAAATATATGAGAGTGATTTATGTACAGTTTATCACAATTGCTTAGAATCTTTTCAAGAAAACATTCTCTTATCTGATGGTTCATATGTATTTATATATCCAAGATTGTAATTCCTTTTTTCATACCACACATAACACATGAGTTTATATCCTAAACTTAAAGTTTATCTCAGAAATAAAGAAATTAACTCAGTTTCAGTTTCAGAAGACCAGTGGAGTATATTATTCTTGAAAACAATGCTGGATTCATTTTAGCTGAGGTTCTTGGAATTACATATAATAATGAAGTGACTGTTAATTTATTTAGAATGTAGGTATTCATCTCCCTAGTTACATGGCATTTAATATAATTTCATACCTTTTTTTCTTATCATAGTCACTTTTGGGTCTCAAAAAGAAACTTATAAAAAGTAAATTACCATGAGTTTTGGATTTTAGTATCATTTTTAAAATATACTAGAAAATTTTCATTTGCATGAGTATATTTTGAAATAATTAAGAAAGACATAAGTATAAGGCGACTTCCTAAAGCATAACATCACCAGTAGAACGTAATGCTTTTTTCCCAAAGACAGTATAGGTCTGGGCTTATTGCCAGAGTTCAGATCTGAAACCGAGCATCTTGTCTCGAATTAACTTGTAACTCCTCAAGATCCTGAATTCTGTTTGGGAGTACTTCATGATGTTAGATGGTTTCTCTTCATGGAACTTCATGGGCTTCATTAAGTGATTTGAGCTTAGTTAATTTCTCAGGAAGACTTTTTTCCTTAGTAGTGTATATAGTTATTTTCAAACTCCTAATTTTACTTTTTAAAAAATGAAGGTGTGGAAACTTAGGTGCCCCCACTCCCACCTTTTTTAAAAAATATTTTATAGTTGTAGATGAATTACCTTTATCTTATTTATTTTTACTTGGTGCTGAGGATTGAACCAGTGCCTCACACATGCTAGGCAATCACGCCACCACTGAGCCACAACCCCAGCTAACTTTAAGTGTCTTAAGAAAGGGCATTCTAGTTGGGCATGATGGTTTACATCAATAATCTCTGGAGTTTGAGGCAGGAAAATCACAAGTTCAAGCCCAACCTGATCAACTTAGTAAAACCCTATCTCAAAAACATTGTGGGCTGGGGGTGTGCTGAGGCTGTAGCTCAGTGTTAGAGTACCTCTGGGATTCAGTGCCCAGTGCCACCAAAAATAACAACAAAAAGGTGTCGTCTCAGATATTGAATCTTACCTAGAATTGAAATGATTTCAGTGTTAAGAATGTAAGAGGTAGAGTGCTCAGCATGCATGAGGCATTGGGTTCGATCTTCAGCTCCACATAAATATAGATATTGTGTCCACCTAAAACTAAAAGATAAATATTAAAAAAACAAATGAAGAAGAAGAAGAAGGGTAGATGGACTGGGGCTGTAGCTCAGTGGCAGAGTGCTTACCTTGCACATGCAAGGCCCTGGGTTTGATCCTCAGCACCACATAAAAATAGATAAGATAAAGGTATTGTGTCCAACTACAACTAAAAAATAAATATTTTTTTTAAAAAGAATGGTAGAATTTCACTCATCATAGGCCTGATTTTTACAAATTAGATATACAACATTAATAAATATCTTTGTATGCCTTTACTCAGAGGAAGATGTAATATTTCTAACATCAATTGATAGAATTGATGAAAAAAACTATGCATGAAAATTTAGGAGTTTTCAAATGACAATCGTTTTCCAATAAATTTTCCTTATCATCCCATATCTGTATTCTGGCAGGAAATAGATGGCACATTCAAAAGGATTGAGAGTTTTATAAAGGAACTTGCTATAGATGTAGTTAAGAGACCCAACAGGACCAGCAGTAGAGGGAGCCAGCTCTAATGAATCCTGAATGGGAAGAAGGAATTTGTTAAGCAGAACCTGTGTGAAAGTCATCGCTGTGAGAAAGGGGTCATGTGACAGGGAGCCGTGGCTATGATGGTAGAGTGTAGCCACCACTGAAACTGCAAGACTCCCCTAGGAAGAAGCAGAGAGTTAGCACTTAGTACTCTCTTTCTTCCAACCTTCCAAATCTCTGTTGGTGTCATCTGTAAAAATCAAGTGTTCCAGGCATAGCGCAGGCTGAAGAAAGGTCCAGGATGGTAGCTGGAGTTGTGGCCCAGCAGTAGAGCACTTGCCTAGCATGTGTGAGGCGCTAGGTTCAATACTCAGCACCACATAAAATAAAGACATTGTGTCCAACTACAACTATATTGTGTCCAACTACAAATATATATTTAAAAGAAAGAAAGAGAGGAAGGGAGGGAGGGCCAGGATGAACCTAAAGAGACTATTTTGTACAGAATAGGGGAGTATGAATGTCAATCATCTTTATTCAAAATTGCCCATTTTTTGTATGAATTGGGCAGACCTGATCAATATCTGCTTGAAGTGTTAAATCTCATTATTATACCAAATACATGTTTGAAGATGTGAATTTGGTGTCAATATAACTTATATATAATCAGAGATATGATAAATTATTGTATAATGGTATATTAAGAATTGTAATGAAAATAAATCTCAATTCATGTATCTTGATTGATATTTCACATAATCACATTTCATTTTTTTTTCTTCCACCTCCAGATTACAATTCCTAGACCTTCTGTGGCATCAACACAGTCAACTTCAGGAAGTTTTCACTATGGTCAACAGCCAGAGAAAAAAGATCTTCAGCCCATGGAGCCCTCTGTAGAACTTTATTCTCCAAGGGAGAACTTCTCTGGCTTGGTTGTGACAGAGGGTGAACTTCCTAGTGGAGGAAGCAGAACAGATTTGGGGCTTCAGATAGATCACATTGGTCAAGACATGTTACCTGATATTAGGGAGAGTGACAAATCTCAAGACCTGGGACCAAAAGATCTTCCTGACTATAATAGACTGGTTGTAAGAGAATTTGAGAATCTCCCTGGGGAAACTGAAGAGAAAAGCATTCTTCTAGGGTCAGATAATGAAGATGAAAAGTTAAGTAAAGGGCAGCAATGTATTGACATATCTCTTCCAGGAGATTTGGTAACTGTGGAAAGGGATCATTCTGCTACTACTGAACCTCTTGATGTGACAAAGACACAAACTTTTAGTGTGGTGCCAAATCATGACAAAAATCATGAGATAATGAAGCTTTTGGCAATTGGCACTTCAGAAATTTCTTCAAGAGTCATTGATCCACATGTTGAAGGACAGATAGGCCTATCTAAGAATAATCACATTAAGAAGAGTGAAGACTTGCCAGGTCATCAGGGAGACCTCTCTACTTTTTTGCACCAAGAGGGTAAGAGAGAGAAAATTGCCCCTAGAAATGGAGAACTATTTCATTGTGTTTCAGAGAATGAACATGGTCCCCCAACTCGGAAGGATATGGTTAGGTCATCCTTTGTAACTAGACATAGTCGAATCCCTGTTTTAGCACAAGAGATAGACTCAACTTTTGAATCTTCCTCTCCAGTTTCTGCAAAAGAAAAGCTCCTCCAGAAGAAAGCTTATCAGCCTGACCTAGTCAAACTCCTGGTGGAAAAAAGGCAATTCAAGTCTTTCCTTGGTGACCTCTCAAGTGCCTCTGATAAGCTATTAGAGGAGAAACTAGCTGCTGTTCCTGTTCACTTTTCTGAGGAGGAAGTCTTCACTCCATTTTCAAAACTGGCAGTAGATTCTCACCTGAGTAGGTCAGCTGAAGACAGCTTTCTGTCACCCATTATTTCCCAGTCAAGAAAGAGTAAGATTCCAAGGCCAGTTGCTTGGGTCAACACAGATCAAGTCAATAGCTCAACTTCATCTCAGTTCTTGCCTCGACCACCACCAGGAAAGCCACCTACAAGGCCTGGAGTAGAAGCCAGGTAATATTGTCTGCTTTGAGTATGTTAATTGTGTCACATTATTTCTATATCTGCTTTACTGTAATGTCAATGGTAGCATTTCTTTTTTGCTTGCTTTTGAGCATCTGCTTTCTTCCCTACCTTTCACAGGCCTTATTATATAGCACAGTACAAATTAATTATTTTTTCCAATTTTTTATTGTGGTAAAATATACACAATATAAAATTTATCATCAAGAATTTTTAAGTTACTATTTAGTGGTATTAAGTACATTTTATTGTCCAACTATCATTACCATCTACTTCCACAACTCTTTTCATCATGTGAAGTGAAACACTAAAACCATTAAACAATAAATCCTTACTATCTTCTCCCTCTAGTCCATGGCAACCACTAATCTATTTTCTCTATGGTTTTGATCAATATACATACCTCACATAAGTAGACTCATTCAGGAGGATCGTGAGGTTGAGACCAGCCTGAACAATATAGCAAGACACTATCTTTTTAAAAAAAATTTTGTGAATATCATTGATTCAATTATGACTTTTGGACTTATTTTATCAGATTAAGAGCCTTATTCACTATTTGTTATTTTATTGTAACTGATTGTTTCTATCATTGTATGTGCATTTAAAAACATTTTGTCTCATCTTTTCTAAGTAGTTTATATAAATTTGTAACCAGGAATTGCCATAATAAAGGAAAAAATTAATGACCTGTTCATATACACACAAATATATACACATGCATGTGTTTTAAAAAAAAAGAAAAAATTAAGTCAGTTTGAAAAAAAGTTTTAATTTGTATTTGATTATTCATGAGACAGTTGTTTTGTTGGTGGTGATGTTCCTATCAAACACCACCCTATTGAGTGATTTTTCTTATAATTAACATTTTTGCAAAATATATTGAAGAAATTTTTATCCAAGCCTGTGGTTTGCCTTTAACTTGGGTTATGGTATAGTATTTATGAAATGAATTTTTTAAATGACTTCTTGTTTTATATCATGCTTAGGAAGGTATTTTCAATGCTAAGGATTTAATTACAAGGTAGTCTCTTCCAGTACTTCTCAGTGACACCATGAAATAGTATTCCTACTAAAAGCCAGAAGAGAAAAGCATTGGTCTAAGGGTCACATCTCTAGTATGTGAAAGAGTAACTTTTTGTTCTGTTCGTGTATTTTCTGATTTTTTTTTTTATTGGTTGTTCAAAACCTTACAGAGCTCTTGACATATCGTGTTTCAAACATTAGTTTCAAGTGAGTTATGAACTCCCATTTTTACCCCAAATACAGATTGCAGAATCACATCGGTTACACATTCACATACTAGTAACTGTTGTATTCTGCCACCTTTCCTATCCTCTACTATCCCCTTCCCCTCCATCTTCTCTTTCTATCCCATCTACTGTAATTCATTTCTCTCCTTGTTTTTTCTTCCAATTCCCCTCACAACCTCTTTTATGTAGTTTTCGCACATGGTAGACATTATGATTTGGGACATTGTAACTTTTAGGTATACTTGGAATGAATTAAAATGAAAATGTTTCTTTGTTCTTTTAAGGCTACGAAGATACAGAGTTCTAGGGAGTAGTAACTCAGACTCAGACCTCTTCTCCCGGCTGGCCCAAATTCTTCAAAATGGATCTCAGAAACCCCGGAGCACTACTCAGTGCAAGACCCCTGGATCTCCTCACAATCCAAAAACACCACCCAAGAGTCCAGTTGTCCCTCGAAGGAGTCCCAGTGCCTCTCCTCGAAGCAGCTCCTTGCCTCGCACATCAAGTTCCTCACCATCTAGGGCTGGGAGGCCCCATCATGACCAGAGGAGTTCATCCCCACACCTGGGGAGAAGCAAGTCACCTCCCAGCCACTCAGGATCATCCTCTTCCAGAAGGTCCTGCCAGCAGGAACATTGCAAACCCAGCAAGAATGGCCCAAAAGGATGTGGCAGTCTCTACCACCACACAGCCAGCACTAAAACCCCCCCAGGGAAGAGTAAGCCAGCCAGTAAACTCAGCAGATAGGAGCTGGGCTGCCTGTCTGGGAAAGGTGTGAGATCTTCCTCCTAAACCTGATGCATGTGTGTCTCTGTACTGTCTATTTAAAAAATCAGTGTTGATCTTTTGGAAAAGAAAGTAACATGATCAATTATTTATAAGAAGACATAAATGTATAATAAGGATTTACCTAAAGCAAGTAGCAAGCAGATCAGGAACAATGCCTTTTGCATAGGAAGGGGCATCCAGCAAAATCCAAGGGGCAGAAACTCATTAAATGAACTTTCACAACTTTTAGCTGACTTTGAAACAACAGTTGAGGGTAGAAGATAGAATGGAATTTTACTTTTAAGGAATTTCATTTAATTTTTAAAACCTCTACTCAAAAGATTATATAGAAAAAATGTTTGATATTTTCATTCAAATCTTCTGAACCTTGAAATCATTGCTCATATATATTAGAGTATATATATATGAAGCTTATTGCCAGGGAGCCAGTACTCTTTATATTTGGCTTGTGTGTTTATCTAGTGTATTGAGAATGTACCCCTTTGCTTCATTCCTAGCACCCTTCCTGGATTTCACATCTTTTTAAGTCGGTGTTTCCTACTGAATCTAATCTGTCTTCTTTTAACAATACATTCTAATAGACATTTAACAGCACATGCTGAGAATTTCACAAATTTCACAATTCCCTTTTTTTTTTTTTTTTTTTAGTGCGCTAATAATATTTTTCTTTGGAGCAACAGTTCTTTAACCCAGTACATTTTTATTATGAAAAATAACTGAGAAACTTAGGTACAGGAAACAAAAATCTGACTAAAGCTACTTACTTTACAAGCTTTAGTTTTTAGGGATAGAGGGAAAGAGAGTGAGGTAACATCTTTGAAGATGGAAGGAACCCCTTTACAATCTGTTAAGTGTTCTCCTTGTGGAAGGAAAACTCAGTGAAGTTAGTAGGCTTCCTTAGGTCTTCTAGGTACCAGCTCTTTCTAATATCAACCTCCAAGATGATATTAGGGAAGCACAATGCTTTGGAATGTGACTTTATGCATTTAGAAAGAAAAACAAAAACATTGGGTGTGTTATGGAGGCTTATAATCTTTAAATTTTATATTTTATACATTTAGCTAATAAGGAATGAATATTTGGGGAAATAAGATTAGGCTAAGTATTTTTCTTTCATTGTTTTATTACCTGCTTCTGTGTTTTTTAGTTCAATAGTTGGGCTTCTTGGCCTGATTCCCATGTAATCTCAATTTATGAAACTAAGGAGGATCATATTTGTTCTAATCTCCTCTGCTAATAGGAATCAAGCAAAATTAAAGTATACTAGACTTTTAATGGGCTCTTTTATACTCTGTAGGTGTTTTGTGTTGAAAAGACCTTATTAAGGTCAGGTAATTTGTTCTGTTTGCTGTTGAAATTTGCCTTCTAGCAAATATCTGAGTTTTCTCTTTGACCTTGTGTTTGCTGCCAAACCTAATAGGTTGAATTGGAAAAGAAACAAAAAAAGAAATGTTATCTCCCCACCAAGTGAACACATTCTAATGCTGCATCAAAGTTGCCCTGAAGCTGCACTGAACCTATCTTGTTCTCTTTATCTGTGTTGAGCTTTTTAACATACAAACTCAAAACACTATATTGAGGCATATAAGGTCTCCCATAAGAAATGTAGCATAGTATGGAATCTTAATTTCTCTCCAGTTTCAAGCACTACAGAGGAATGCAGTAGATAAGACAATTTGCTGTTTATCTAAAGCAGCTGTAATATTGAAAGACTGATCTTTCTGTATTATATTGTATAATAGTTGCTATAACACTACTTGCATGTCTTCATGGTAAATTATATAAATATTTATAAATATATATAGACATATGCTTATAAAAAGTCATTCTTTCTCATTCTCCATTTGTAATTTCAAGATCACAGATGGTGAAATTTCTTTTCTATTGTGTGCCTCATGTACACTTGGGCCTTGTCTAACTTCATTTTCTGAAAATATGTTCTTGGCATGTGACACCTTAGATTTTTCTTGCCTTCCCTGTGTGTAATGCAAGGGTTGGTGGTCTTTAACAAGCCAAGATAGCTAATTTAATTGTTTTTGAAAAAGATTTTAATAGGGGAAAAATGACTGGGACATGCTTGTAATACTGTTCAAAGATTTGTTATGTTAATCACATAGTTCTGTCCTTATCATTAGAGTAGATAGACTGGGATTATAATCATGGGTCTGATTATAATTTGATTTTTAAAACATTTCCAAATACTTGCCATCCTGCTTTCTTTTTTTCACATTACTTTTTTTGGGGGGAGTGAGAGTGGGATGGGGGATAATTAGGAAATTATCTTTTATTCTATTGAATTAGCTATAAATTATGCTAAAAGTAGACAAATTTAAATACTGACCCCTCTAGTCAGAAATGTGCTAATAGTACCCATTGGAAAAGCTGATGAGGGTACAACTCTGGTATGTGGGTCTGTGTTATTGTTGGCATTTCTATGCTGGCAGTCAAAAATGATGGTGATGGCAACATGATAACAGGATGTTTTCTTTTTTTCTTGGTTCCTTCTGTTTTTCTACCAATCTTTACACTGGGTTGCTTCTTTATTTCTATGTGGCATTAACAAACTCATCAAGATTCAGAGATAACAGCCTTATTGGGTAAGAATATTTAACTTTGCATGTAGAAGAGTTAACCAAAGATGTTTCTGCTCTGATACTTTCAAAAGAAATAGACTAATCTTATGTTCTAATAGGTCCATTTTTACATACTATCCTTATATAAAGAGATTTACTTAACGGTTTTTAAAAGCATAGTTTGTACTTTTAGATGTTAGATGTATCTTAGGCTAAAAATAGAAGTTGACAGCCCTGAGCAAGCACTTTTAGCACAAGAATTTTTGTTTTTATTTTATTTTAAAGTATTATACAAAGAACAATGTTTTTGTTTGGTTTTGGGGGTTTTTCCCCCTTTATTTTGGGGTTTTTAAGTGGTGGCATATTTCAGATTACAGTTACAGATCATCCAAGTTATTTTATTTTATTCCAAGTAATTTTAAACCAGTTTGGCCATTAACTAAAAAGTCAAACCAAACTGTATTAAAAGTATTATTGGGCAGAAGTTTGAATTACCTTTTGAAAATCAAGTACCTCCTGGTTTCTCCTATCACAACAGAATGGCTGGTTACCTAGCCACATTTTTGACCTTGCCTTCCCTTGTCTAGTCTCTGGGATTACTTGGGTGGAATAGAAGATAGGAATAGCACCAGCCCAATGCCTTCAGGTAGTATTCTTTCTCAGTTATGCTGCCAGATCTCCAGGGTCTATGAATTAGTTAAAATCAGCTTAAAGACATTTAACTTTAATGGATAGTGAACAAAGAAGGAAAACTGGATATCAAATTTAACATTATAGACATAAATTATAAGTCAACTTTGACTATTAGGCCTTCAGCAGGCAGACACTCTCATTCTCAATTCTGGTACACAAGCTGGCCTTGCTGACAGTGGCACAGATACATTTATTGCTTTTTAAGTTGCATGTTTTGGAGTGGATGTCTTTAATAATAGTTGCCAAGTTAATCAAGTCCTAAATAAGTAGCAAAATGGTAATTGAGACCCAATATTATTTGCTTTAGCAATACTAAGCCACTGCTTACTGACTCAGTGTTCTAGATGTGCAGTATCTCTTGTCTGATTCCTAGCTGCTATGGGAACTTGAGGTTCCTTGGTAAACACCTGAGACTCCTTCCAGACTACAGATTCCTAGAGCTAATGTTTTATAGTTGCATCCGCTTTGCAAGGGAAAAGTTGTACATTGGTGCATGTTTTACAAACCCAAACTCAGATAGTTAAAACCATAGTTTTTCTGTACCCAGTAGCTTTGAATTAAAAACAGATGCCTTTTTCCCAAAAGCAGACAGTTTTATGTTCCTAACCTAACATTAGGAATTGGTGAAAGGAGAAACTGGATCCAGAATTCAGAATTTTAGCAACTTTGGGAAAAAAAATGCATCTTACTTTGGCTGTTTGAAAATATATTTATTTGTAGATAATCTAGATTTAGTCTTGGAGGTCAAAATTTTTCATATTTTAAGAATTTATTTCATTCCTTTAAATCTTATCAAAACATGGTATGTCTTAGAGAATCCCTCTGTCATGTCATGTTCATGTGTTTTGGAATTGTTGGCATTCACTCTTAAAATCTTCCCATTTCTGTTTTTGTGCATTTTACCACCCATATTTTTGGACTTTGCTTATGGGGAGAGATGGTTTAGCATCTGTTATTAAGAAGATAGAAGGGTTGACATCAACTGCACTGTTTAACTTTGTTGAGTTTAGTTCTACAGATAGTATATTAGCAAAATAGCTACTTGTCTATGATTTGACACAAAGTATTATAGGATTAGGGCATGTAATTACTATGGTTTTCCCTCTATGTCAGTATATACCCCAATTCAGTAACCACTGATGCTGGTTTAGACTCTTAGAGAAGGAGTTCCAGCCCTCAGACCATGTGGGAGATGTATAGTGCCTGGCAAACCAGGTGGTTGTCAGGACAATCCCGCTTCTCCTCTGCCCTCACCAAAAGCAAAACAAAAAACCCTTGAGTGTGTACTTTGTGGATGTGTCATATTATTGGATATTTTCTATATTTTGGCAATTTCTTGCAGTCATGAGAAATTGCGGAGTCACTGGAGCCTTCAGAATTTGTTGCCAGCATTGCTATATAACAGGAGTTATATAGGGGGAATTCCCAAGACATTGGACAAGGATTCCTATCCACTTAGAGGAGAATCTGGATGCTACACACCTTAATCTTTGGCTTATCAAGACATTTGGTTGTGATTGTCTACTTCTACTTTAAAAATATGTAAGCTTGATGTTTTATTTATTTTCCTTGAGCAAATTTAGATCAGAAAATTAATGTGAAAAGATCAGGATCACTTTAGGTTCCATATAATCTCAAAACACTAAATAACAACAAAGTAACATTTTTCAGTAACAATTTGAATATTTCCTTATACTTAGCAGGCATGTAACAGAGGTGAAGCCCTTCCTTTCATTGCCCTGTGTAACTTAACAGGTTACTGCCTCCTCTTTACTTGGAAGTAACAGTGTGGGCATAGTGTGTACACTGGTAATGCTAACTATGTGTTCCAGACCTTGGGCCAAGGGTTCTGGGTTGAGAACAGGATATGTGAGGCCCGCTTTGAGCCCCTGGCACTATAGATTTGCTGATGACATACTTTTACACTAAAAACAGGAAATTTACCTCCTTTTAGTAGTTTAATGTTGTTTCATATTTTGTATGTAAATGTTCACTCACCTATTTAAAAACATTGAGTAAATCAAGTTTTTATATAGACTACCCTTCCCATATGATGCTTTTTTCCTCTTATATAATTTAAATCTCTAAAAAATTAATTCATAGCACTTCACTGGACTCTGTCTGGGTGTTCTTCATTCACCTACAAGAGGTAACAAGGCAAACAGAGCTTGGCTGTGATTTATTTGTGGGGGTTTCCCAGAAAAGGGAAAGCTTTGAGACTTTCCAAAACAATTTTCAACTATGCACAACATAGTGAAATTAGTTCGCTCAAGTAAAATGCTTTGAGCCAGATAAAGGAATATAGTGCTGGGCCACTTAGGGATTTGAAATTGGGTGGACTGAGGAAAGAGAACAGGTCAGATGACCCAGGCTTGAACCTTTTTCACTTTTCCCTGATGCAGTTCCTAAAGCTCCTCTGATTTCCTAAAATAGCACCTATTTTATTTGGCCATTTACTTACAAGTTCCCAGCTTTTAGGAAAGGGGAGGGGGCATCCAGTTTTGAATTAGATATACATCTTGAAAGTTATGAGCTATTGGCAGCTATTAAATCAGATTTAACCACAAATCAGAATTCTCTCTTTAAACAAAACCAGTGAGTTAAAATAGATGACAAATAATTCCACTTTCCTATACCTCTCTTCTCTTCATGGGATCAGAGATGAGAAATATCTCCAAAGGTACTGCATAGTCCCATTCCCCTCCAAGCAGATCCCTTTATGCATTTTTGCTCAGGCAACCAAGGACAGAGTATTGGCAGAAACATGGAGTGCTTTTGTATAGGCCATCTGTACATAAAAAATGTAATTTATTTAATTTTATCATTTGTATCATATTAAAGCTTTGTACAGTGTTTTAAGTTCTGTTTTAAAATTATTTTGTATTTTATTTTTATAATCTAGTAATAAAATATTCATTCCGCATGCAAACTCTAGTTCTCTTTGTGTGATGGTTTTGATTTCAAAAGTGGGAAATACTTTTCTAATTTAATAAAATTTTGAATGCATTAGCAATTGCAAGATTAACGGGGGGGGGGGCTGGGGTTGTGGCTCAGAGGTAGAGCACTTGCCTAGTATGTGCGAGGTCCTGGGTTCGATCCTCAGCACCACATAAAAATAAATAAATGTTAATCTTTTTTTTAACTGGGAGCAAAAAGTGTTACTGAAAATGCAGTACTCCAGAAAACAGTGACCGGAAGTGACCTAGGAAAATGAAGCCCTGGGCTGAAAGAATAGAAACTAGGTGTTCAGTGTCTCTGCAGATGAAAACCAGGTTCAGAAATATGAGATGGTTCCTGTGCAACAAAACTGTCAGAAGCTCCCTTTCAGTGCATTATTCTCTCTGGCTGAAGGTATTTTTTCCTCCTCCATAGGAAACACCTCTGGTACCACTAGAGGGATTCAGGCTTCCGCCACCCTCTGGGTTCCTGTTGTAATCTTCCTTTGAACCAAGGAACCCAGGAGGCATTCACAGGGTCCTGGCTTCACGCTCCCTCCGTAAGACGTGGAATATTAACTGCCTTCCACATTTTTCAGCCTGGATTCTCTTAAATTTCTCACTGAGGAGCAACATCAAAAATGCCCAGTATCAGATTTTTCAAAATAAGGGCAAGGAGTGCAGTTAAGTGGTACTGCATGGTGCCTGCTGAGTGCAAAGCCCTGGGTTCATTGCCCCCACCCCCACCTCGTAAAGCATAAAAACAAATACACCCTCACACACCTTGATCTCCAAAAGCTAATCGTGAATATGCCTATGGGCATCTCAACTGGAAAGTAGTTGAAATATTAATCTTGAGTAGCACTGTGTAAAGCAGTTCCCTAGAGATCCCTAGAGACCATTTATTGATCTTTCAGGAAGAATTCTCTCCTAAATAATCAGTTAATGGAGAACATTGCAAAGCTTGGCCAATGGGTGAAAAGTCAGCCTTTGAGAAAAACGAGGTCAAAATGAGAAGTTAGATTAAAACTTAATAACTACTTTTTGGATGGTAAACCTGAAAAAACCCTAACTCTCGGAAATGTGCTTATGGCAGAAGGCGTGGGCTGGTTGCTGTTTTAAAATTGTTCACCTTTACAGCCGGCCGCTCTCCCGCGCCCTTGGTCTCCCGAGAGTTGCTTCTGCCTCGCGGCAGCCCATCCTAGCTCAAGTCCCGGCGACTCGCCCCCTCGGGCCGGCGTAGTCAGGGTAGGGGCCCTCCTGGGCTGTGCAGCCTGTTGGCAGGCACAGAGGCCCCAGCGACTCCTTGACCGCAGGCCTGAACAAGACCCACCCGCCGCGCCCTGCCGCCCAACGGTCGCTCCCCGCCGCCGGCCCCGCCCTTCCCAGGCCGCCCGTGGCGCGCCGGCGCCTGCGCAGTTGCCCCAGAGCGCCCCGACCGGGATGGCGGCCGTTTTGGAGTCGCTTCTGCGAGAGGAGGTGTCGGTCGCAGCCGCCGTGCGGTGGATCGCGCGCAGCACCCAGAGTTCGGAGGTAACAGCACCGACACGCCCCCAGGGCTGACCAGAATCGGCTTCCCGCGGGAGATACTGCCTCTCCAATCCCTTCCTCTAAGGTGCCTAGCTGCCAGCCCGGGCCGAGTGCACTCGGACCAGGCGCCGCTGCCCGGGCCGCCCACCCTAGGCGCGCCCTGCGGCCCCAGCTGCCCCGGACCTGGGCTGGCAGCTGATTCTCTCTCCCCTCGACCTCTGCTTCCACAGGAGAGCCCGGGGGAGGCGGCCGTGCTGAACTCACTCCGGCCCCTACGGAAGGAATTCGTGCCGTTCCTGCTCAACTTCCTGAGGGAGCAGAGTAGCCGCGTCCTTCCGCAGGGCCCCCCAACCCCAGCCAAGGCTCCAGGAGCCTCAGCAGCCTTGCCAGGGAGGCCGGGGGGCCAGCCGCGGGGTGGCCGCGGGGCGCGCAGCCAGCTCTTTCCTACGGCTGAGCCCCCGAGCATCGCCGCTGAGGCCCCTCTGACCCGCCGCGGGGGCAGGAGGCGGGGTCCCGGGCCGGCCCGGGAGAGAGGAGGCCGTGCCCCCGGGGTCCCAGAGGAGGGGGTCGGCGGGGAGAGCCTGTCCTGGCCCGGAGGCCGGAGGCTTAAGGGCTCTGGTAGCCCCAGTACCCCCAGCCTCACGCTCTCTGATCCACCAAACCTCAGCAACCTGGAGGAGTTCCCTCCCGTAGGCTCGGTTCCCCCCGGCCCTGCAGGGTGAGAACCAGCCCTAACAGAGATGGGTGGTCTGAAGCCTCTGCTAGGGAAGTTTGTAAATCAGAGCTGAGCTCGGGAAGGGTTGGAAGGTTGGGAGCGAGGTAACTATAATAGTGAGGGGATTTTTTTGTTTGTTTTTTGCAAGAGGCCCAGCTGTGGGGGGTGGGCGTTATTTGAAGATAGAAATTTGAGGAAAACCTATGGCTACTCTCAGCAGGACGAAGCCTTCACGCAGGATCAACCCAACTCCGGTGAGCGAAGAGCGGTCACTCTCCAAGCCCAAGATCTGCTTCACCTCACCCCCAATCAGCTGTGTCCCCAGTTCCCAACCCTCAACCCTGGACACTAGCCCTTGGGGCCTTGGCCTTCCCCCAGGGTGCAGAAGTCTGCGAGAGGAGCGGGAGATGCTCAGGAAGGAGCGGTATGGCCTTGCCGCTCCCTGGGATGTCAGCTTCCTCCCTTGTGGGGGACCTGCAGGGCTTTTCCTTGAAATTGATTTCCCCCGTGGGAACTCTGGGTTTGTTTCCTGGGCTGGTCAATGTCTTCTCTGGAGGGAGTGTGTGTGTGTGTGTGTGTGAGAGAGAGAGAGAATGTGTATGGAAAGCCAGGCTAACTGCTCATGAGATCTCTCTATCCCCATAGCTCTAAACAGCTGCAGCAGTCACCTACCCCTGCCTCTCCCACCCCAGAATTGGGAACTTCCCTCCCCAGCCGGACTGGAAGCCTCACTGCAGAACCTGCTGACCCTGCCAGAGTGTCTTCCCCCCAGCGCCTGGAGCTGGTAGCCCTTGTCTACTCCTCGTGCATTGCTGGTGAGAGAGCTAGCAAGGGGAGCTACAATGGAGATACTTGTAGAACTGCAGCATAAGAGAATTAAATGAGCCATGTAAAACTGAGCCTTGGCTCCGAATGGTTCCAGTACTAAGGGATTTCTTTTTATATCCAGAGAACCTGGTCCCAAACCTCTTCTTGGAGCTTTTCTTCGTCTTTCAGCTCCTTACTGCCCGAAGGATGGTGGCTGCCAAGAACAGTGATCTTGAACTGAGTCAAGGTGCTCTACATCAGTGAGATACCTCATATTCTGGAAATGGAGACTACAGATGGGATAGCCCTTAATTAACAGTTTGTTACTATCTTTCTAGATTCCCTGGAAAGCCCACTATTCCAGAGCATCCATGATTGTGTGTTCTTTGCAGTGCAGGTTTTAGAGCACCAATTTCAGTGAGTTTATTTTAATTGTTTGTCTGATTCTCTGACCCCTTGGGTTATATACTTGTACTTAACAGGTACAGTGGTCCTGGACCTTATCCTAACTATAATTTTGTGTCAAGGTTGAGTTTGTCTCCCCTAAAAGAATCTAATATACTCAACAGCTGACCTTTGGATTTATGGCTAATATTCCTGGCCTGCTCTCTTGATCTCTGCACTGTAAGGTCTAATTTCCTTGCCCTTTGTCTCTGTTGTCTTGGTCTTTGACCCGTAACCCTACTGTACATTTCTGGACTTACACAAGGGTGCCTGCTTCCTGTTTGTAGTCTGTGTCTCAGTCTCAGTTATTTGTGCTCTTCTCCCTGTAGGGTTCTTTCCTCCTTGGACAAAGGGACCTTAAAGCTGCTGGCTGAGAATGAACGACTACTGTGCTTCTCACCAGCTCTTCAAGGCCGACTTCGAGCTGCTTACGAGGGCAGTGTTGCCAAGGTAGTGTGACCCCAGCTTAGATGACTACTAACCTGGACCTGACCATTCCTAGCTTTCATGAATTCAGGCAATCTGCTCATGACACTTAATTGTCATATGAGCTAATTCTGGGTAACAATAAGGGAGTAAAGTCTTCTGAGCATGACTTCCACAGGCTTTATAAAGTTTCTGATGTCTCTGCCATATTTTAGGTCTCTCTGGCGATGCCACCCTTGGCTCAAGCTGTCTCCTTTCAGCCAGAAACTGACAATCGTGCCAACTTCTCCAGTGACCGAGCCTTTCATACTTTTAAAAAACAGAGGTGAAATGGAAAGGGAATATTGAGGGAAGGAATAAGGCAACATTTTCTCTGTAATAGGCAGCTGTCTTGTTTTCATAGAAAATAGGAGTCTGGCACTAACAAGTAGTAGGTCAGTACCCCCAGGCTCTAATTAACAGCCATCATGAGGGCCAGTTGTTTCATTCTGTTTTGTTCTCATGGACTTGAACCCTTGAGTTTGACAGCCCTCTCACAGTTGTATAAACTACTCAGACAGGAGTATGCCAGGATTCACTTTCACTGCTCATGGATGTTTGTGAGGCCAATGAGTGCTGCTGCTGGGTCTGTAACATTACCATCACATAAAGAACTTTGGAGCTTAAGGAAGGACTGTGGACAGGGCTGTCCTCAGTCTTCCAAACTAGGGAATACTTCACTGAAAATGAGTTAGAGATGGCTGTGCTGCAGCTGATCGGGTATTCTTGTATGTCTGTCAGAGATGTGTTCTATGAGGTTCTTCGAGAGTGGGAAGATCGCCATGAGGAGCCCGGCTGGGATTTTGAGAAGGGCTTGGGCAGTAGGATCAGGTGGGTACTCAAATGTTGGTCCCTTTTTCTTGCTTCTGATGGCATCTCAGTGATGCTTGGTAAGCTGACTGGAAGAAAGCTTTCCACCACTCCTTCCAGCCCAAAGCTATATATTCTTTTCTCTTCCTTAGTCTCTAGCTATTGACAACTCTGCCTCTACTCAAAAGGGATTTCTTTCCAGCTGCT